ATATTGGAACTGGCTGATTTTATGCAAAATTCTAAAAACTTAATTCAAGTGCAGCCGCTGCTTGCTTAAGCTTCGCAGCATCTCATTTATCTCCCTTCAGATTTTTTCTGAATTTGCAATAGAATTTATCAGGTATGTTTGAATTTGCAAGTTGTGAATAACATTTTTATTGTAACACAAAACAGAAGCATAAAAGCCTGGGTTTTATATTTATAGAAGGAGAAGACAGTGAGATATCAGCATATTTAATGTAGTGTCAGCAGGACTCTTCAGGATCCGCTAAGCCTACTCGTTTCAGTTTAATATGATGTGTTCTGAGATGAAAAGGATCTTATAAACTCATTATGTAGTCACATATTGTCCTGTAGATTGAGTCTGTGTGGTGGTCTTATTGTGCAGTCTCTCTCTTTGTGGCACTGGCACAGTCTTAAGGTGTGTGTGTGTGTGTGTGTGTGTGTAAGCATCCTGGTCTCTTTGTGCACCAGTCTGGCTGTTGGCAGTGCTGTTTGATTCTTGGCAGGTGGATCACAGCTTCTTGCAGCCCAGCTGAAGCGGTGGATACCATCCAGTGAGCGAGCGGTCGAGAGACCTAAAAAGACAGCGAATAAGAAAGAGAGAGGAAGACAGAGAGAGACAGACACCACAGAGGGAGGAAGCGGGAGTGTGAAGGAAAAATAGACAGACACAGAAGGAGATGAAGAGACAAAGAAACTGAAAAAAAAAGTTTTGCACATTCTCCGCATTGTTCTATAAGTAGTTGCAGTTTCAGTGTTTTACTGCTTTTGTACAGGAATTTCTAATTCACAAATTCACACCCTCCACCCCCACCCCCACCCCCTCCTCATCTTTCACTCTCAGAATGTAAACCTCACAGTCTGGTGTTGAAAATCAATACGACAGCTTGTTTCTCTGTAACAAAACAACTCTCACAGTAATCGGGTCACATGTGCACGACTACGGATCTGTGCACTTGTGTCCTCTGACAAAGGCCTCAGGCAATTAAAGTAATGTTTGGGTGTCCGTGAGCGAAATTGTTGGGTCCCCCGGAAGGCGTATTGTTAGCCAGAAAGGTTGGGAAAAACCTTCTTAGTAGATGTCTCTTTGCTTTCACATGGTCTCTCCACACTTGGAAGATGTTCAGCTGTCATGTTTAGCTGCTCACGACCTGGAGATTGCCTGTGCATGTTTGTGTGTGTGTATGTGTGTGTGTGTGTGAGAGAGAGACCAGTCATTAGATCAAATATGAACCTAGTCTGAGTGACTGAGTGATGAGCTTTGGGTTTTTATTCTGGGCCAAGGCAGGTCTTGACCAGGCTTAGATTTCACACTCACACACAATTCAGGCAATTTCCCCTGAGAAGGGGAAGAAGAGATAAAATGAGACATGATGAAAGTGTTTAGATAGACTGAGGTGTGGCTTTGTGTTTGTTTGGGGAAGACTGGAATGTATTTACATAATTTCTCTGCATCTTTGTCTTTGACACATGTCACGTACAGATACACAGCCATGCATACATTATAGTCTGTGCATGCTGGCTGTGTCAGCAGCCAGGAAACTATACCTAACACATTATTGATGTGTCCAGTCAATAATTACAAGTGATAAGAGGTATTGACAGGTGTTGGGAGAAAAGAAAAAGTGTTGATCTGTAGGTTTATGTGGTTGTGTTTTCCCAGTGGGCTGCAAAATGGCTTTAAAGTAGGTCTATGTATTGACCTAGTAATGCTTTAGCTGACTAGACAACAATAAGACATATTTTGCTATAATGAGAAAAAAACAGCAACTACAAAAAACAATTTTTTTTTCCACACGTTTGAGCCAAAATCTAAATTGGACATAAAAAAGGATTCATTACTGCGGATATTTACAAAGACAGAACATTTCAAGAAGTTGAATTTAATGATGTTTGCTACCTGCAATTTAATGCTAACTGCTAATACCAAAAATGCATATCATTTTTTGTGCTTGAAATAAACAGACTCTGGCTGTGTTTAGAAAATAGTGCAACTTCTGTAGTGCAACGAACCAACACTATGAGCACTGTTTGGATATTGTGCTTATATGCTATATAAATCTGGCCCCTAAGATATTAACTTGTAAGTTTTAGCAGTTAGCTGTTTGCTAGGCTAGGCTAATTCCATACACTAGAATAATAAAAGTGTCCTTTTTCAAGGTCACCAGGTTATGGAATTTTGCTTCAACCTTTAAAACTATTATTCAATGGTCATTATCTCACAATTTCAAACTACATATCTCAAAATTTTGACTTAGTAATGCTAACTTTTAAGAAAAAAACTCAAAATTTGGATAATTACATGAACTTTAACTTATCTGTGGCAAAATCAAGTTTTAGACTAGGGAGCTTTTACAGGACAGTTTGGCTGTCAAATTCCACAAATTTCAGGTATATATTCCACAAAATATTATCAACGTTTTTTATTCAGACAGTTCCTTTGGTCGAAAGCAGTTGTGAAAGAAAATTAATACAAAGTGACCTGTATTTTATCCAGACAAAGTAACTTATTTATAGACAGACACGGTGATTCAGAATTTCAGCTGAGTTAATTTAAAGTTTTAATCTTCCAATCATCTGCACTGTGTTGTGGAGATGAATGTCTTTTTTGTAATTTGGGTGAATTGACCCTTTATAACTGTCAAAGGTACTCAGTTATACTCTCTGTGAAATACATAAAACGGTACTAAAAGAAGTGAATCACAGAGAATATCACATAATTCATAATTGCTTGTATTTGAAACAGGCAATTTTGCTAAATTCCTTGTTGATAGGAAGCTTTTATCTTCGCGCAGAGATATGAGAGTGTGGGGGGAAAATAATGTGTGTGCCCGTGTGTGTGCCCGTGTGTGTGTGCGTGGATGTGTGCCTCTTTGTTGGATTCTGAAATCATATATTATTATACTATTATGTCCCATTTCTCTGTGCCACTCCAAAGCCCATGAACTGAGCAAAGCAGTCTAAATGGTCTTTAGTTCCTCTAAATACACCATGGGCTGGAGGCTCCGTCTGACCTTTCGCTGCGCAGCACCTCTCCAACACTGTTTCTGTCTCATCCCTCTCATTTAATCTATCTCTCTCACCCCGGCTCCACTGTGCAGCGCCTCTCTCTGCTTCATTATACCATGCGCGCTGCTTTCTTTGTGGCTGTTTTCTCACTCGCATACCGCTTTGTGCATGTGCAAGCAGACACACGCAGATATGTGTGCTATGACACGCACACAGTGCACATATATATACACGCATTATTACAGCATGACACGCCTCCCTGCTGTCACACAGTGTGCTGAGCTGAGGGGAACGGCTGGGTTTCAGTTAGAGCTGATGAGCAGCATGAGCACAAGAAGAAGAGAAGGGAAGGAAAAGAGGAGGCTGGACCAATTTTACAGTCCCTTTGTTATACCTACTAGCAGTATGGATACACAGAGGGCCTTGTAAACAGACACATACAGCCCTTTTCAATTGAGCGATTAGCCTCATTTGCATTCAAGAGAGCAAACTTTACAGTAGCGGTAAATAGTTTTTCCAGGTCACTGCTCCTACCTTATAAAAATTGGAGTGAATATGAAAGTGCGCTGCTTAAAAGGGATGCTTCTTGTTTAAATTGCGGCACATCAGCGACTCACACAGTTGATCTTGGATCTGTGGATTGAAAGCATACATTCAAACCTTTTCACAGAGGAAGGATAACCTGTGAAGCACACACAATATGAGAGAGAGAGACGAAAGAGCAAAGCAGAAGTCTCTGCAGATGGATACTGATTAAATATTGATGGTCAGCAGTGTTGAAGGCTTGATTAGGACCTGAGTGAGCCAAGAATGAACAGTGCCACACATCTATAAATGCACTAGCAAGTACCACGAACATATATCTGTGGTATTAGCATTTATAACAGCTGATAAATGAAAATTAGAAACATAAAGAAGAGACACCCTTCAACCATGTTATGAGCATTGATGTTGCATACTTTGCCTGCAAGAGGGCATGCTGCAACTTCTCTGCAAGTCTGGAAGAGTTTGGCACTGCATAAAAGAGCAATCCATGAAATGTTGTATAGGAACTCCTAAACAACTGCACATTACAAATGTCGGGGAAATCTGCAGGAACGTGTCTAGAATAAACAAAAATATGATAAAAATGTATCAGACTTTGAAATAATTAAATATCAGTATGAGCCTTAAAAGTCCTATATCTCTCAGGCTCCACTAACAAGTGATAAACACACACAGGTGCAGAACCGTGCTGTGCAATCTAAACAGGTTTTCATTGTGCCTCCCATAGGTCAGCCTGCCACAGCGTCTTCTCACTTTTCACTCTCACCTTCCTGCATCCCCCCTCTACTTCCTCTTGTTATGCAGAGACCACACACTGGAAACAGCACGTTGAATTCAGAGTAAACCAGACATGCACGCGTCTTCAATCGACAACTAATGTACTTAAAATAATGCATCTAAAGGCAAGCAGATTATTATTGTACTATTCCTGCACTTAACAGCACAATAATCTCCTTCTAGCCACCAACTGAACTTAAAAATGAGCCTTAAAAAATATATATAACATGTAACCAGCATTTTCGTCTGACTACTCACTATATTGTCTGAAGCCAATTTCGACTGTAAATACAGTCTTTCTTACGGCTTCATTGAATGACTTTGTGTCCCCTTGAACTGGAACAGCTGCAGCGCAACCACAGTAATCTTGGAGTTTAAATTATAGGTTCACCAGTGCTTCTGATTCCATTGCTGGTGTACTCCAACACAACAAAAGATGCCCTTGTGGAACACATTTTGAAAGTGTCTTTGTGGAAAACTTACAATGCAACATAATGTTATGTTATACATTCAAGAGAGAAACATGCCGCACCATGTCTGGAAAGCATCAGTCGTTCTTTAAGGAGGCAGGGATCAACAAATGCCACAAAAATGTCCTGTATGTGTCTGTTAACATTTTCTCTTTTTTTTTTTATCTTCCTTGTGTTGTCACAGTTACTTTGCTGGACTCAATGTCAGCTTTGGCCGACCTGGGCTGGGAGGCTTATCCTAATGAGGGGGTGAGTACCTGCAGTGTGCAACACACACACACATGGATATATATGATCTGGCACAAAATAAGATCTGATGGCATGTTATGTTGGCTTGCATTATTTCAGGGGAAGAGGCAAGGACTCAAAGCTAGCAGGAGGACTGGAGTGTGTGTTTTAGAGAGCACTGGGTTCATAAGCAGTCCTTGCTAAATCGGGAGTTTTCAGTGGGAATTTACAAATTATTTCTGCTACGCTGAAAACGCTGTGGTGCTGGAGCCTGCATTTATTACAGGCTGCGATTTTTGGGATGGAGTGAAGGGACACGATGGGGAGAGTAAATATTCCTACATAAGAGGAGATGGCATATGCATCCTAGTGTTTCTGCATTGTGTACATGTGCCTGCAGGGTGGGTGTGTTGCATAACTAGACTTTCTTGGTCATGGGGGACCACGGGAGTTTGGAGTGCAGCTATCATGAATCAGAGCAGTGAGAAGAGGAAGAGCATATAGAGGAAGAATGAAGAAGTGCATTCAATAGAGCGGATTCTGTATGTCACTGTAGTGCAGGGGCTGTTGAATGGCACTGAATTAATTCTATTTCCTCTTGAGTCACACTTCTCTCTCGCTCGTCTTCCCTCTCCACTATTCAGCATCAGTGTGTTAAATTGCAGGATGCCACACGCGGTTTCATGGTTGTGTGAAGTGGAGAGGCAGCTGATGTGTGCAGAGCCAGGCAAAGTTGTTTTCTCAGGCAATCAAGGGTTTCGAGTTCGCTTAATTGAAATGCTCTTATTGTGCGGTCATATTGTAGATGTTTGTGGATGTTTTTATTTTTTTTGCGGTCCCTGCAGAAAGAGCAGAATGTGTTCCATCTGTGGCTAAACTAAGCAGGTCAATCTAATTTAAGTTACTTTTATTGAATATGTAGTTCAGGTTGGGGTGAACACGTGTTGTTAGTTTACCCTCAAAGAAATGTGTTGGCTGGAAAGTGAAGCGTACCCCATCCTGAATGTCTTTTTTTCATGGACTGTCAGATGGGGAGACGCTGGTCTCCACACAATACCTCTGAGAAATAAATACTATAAATATAGCCTCCTTTTATCCACCCGAGACTTTGCAAAAATAAAAGTGTTTAGAGTCTTTGCTTTTTATCAGCTTCTTTAATCAGATCACGGAAATTAGTTTGTAAAATCTTTTGCTTTCATTGCCCATCTCATGCGGTCGTTTGATACACGGAGCCGACGTTATCTCCCACCTGGATCGCTCTTTTTCATCTGGTAATTTAAGAAAATATACAAGTTTCTACAGTGAGCTATGATGTTGCCACAAAATGAAAAATCTATTCTTTATTGACGTTTGAGGGTAATCAGGTACAGAGCAAATAAAAGGGAGTGCAACTGAAGGACTCCTCAAAAATTAAAAAACGAGAGACTTGCAAAGTGTAAAAACTATAAATCACCCGAAAGTTTACAGTTTAATTGTGGCAAACTTTTATAATTGATAAAAGTCATTTTATCTGAATCCTCTGCCTCACATTACTTTTCATCCCACTTTGTTACTTGTTTTAATCGGTTTTCTGTTTTTTCTAAATTTGTTTGGTTGAGAAAAACTTTTAAGGCAGGCTATGGGCCAAATTACTACTTTAAACCTTTTAGCCCAAAGTTTTACAGTTGCTGAATCTTTACTTTTCTATTTCATTGTGATGGTCCTTGGAGTAAAAAATGCATTTACCTTGCCACCTATCCTCAGGGAAACCAATACGTCAGCACTGTTTAAGTCTTCACAGTAGCTCCTGGCACAGTTTGGCCTTCTACTGGAATTCTTACAAGATCCAATAAAGCTAAAAATTTCTTGCCACAAGATGTTACTGCTTGCAATTTCTGCACAATTCAAGTCATGGACTGTATCTCTATTTGTAAAGCTGCAAACTATCTATTTAATTTTTTCAGCTGGTGGCATTCAACATAAAAAAAAACAGTATAGAGACCAACAAGGGCTGCCAATCGTGCTGGCAAAAGTGCTGTTTGTTTATGATGATTCTGCATATGTCTAAAAATGAATGTCGTAAAGATTTACTAACTTGTGTAGAAGAGAAGTAATAGAGCGATAAGAGACTCGGAGAGGAGAGAAAATGTGCAAGGATGGTGAGAATGCCTTGTGTTTTATATCAGGGGGATTATCTAGTTGACCTTTAAGCTTTAAACCTGAGGATTATTCTCAGTGAGAGGCAATTCCCACCAATATCAGGCCAACGTCTACCTGAATTAGTCCAAAATCACACTTGACCCTCACGGGTCACGCTTAATCCGAGCCGTGCAGGGCCGGATGTGTCTGAGACTGAGTGGAGCGACCCATTTCTGTCACCACAAAGCAGTGAGGGACACAAAACAGATATGTCTTAATGATGTTTGAAAATGGGAGGCCCAACTGCCTCTCGGCTTCCCCAGAGGCTCCCCAGCCCTCACTGGTCCCCTGCCATTTTTTCTCAACTTTTTATCCCCTACCCTGTCATTTGTCTTTCTTTTTTTTTTTCTCCCCCTCGCTAAGCCAGAGCTTGTTCCAGAGTTTGGCGGCCAATTATGTCCTCATAGGTGTACCCATCAGATGATTGCAGAAGGAGGGATGTTATGTTAAGCCGGTGAATGGTTGAACCTAAACGCTGAGCCGACGTCTCTGCTTCACTTCAAAGCAATCAAGCTGGCTCTGCGCTGATTGGCCGAGGTGATTAAGAGATCAGGGAGCAGGGTTTCGATTTGAGCCAACAAAGCCCTGGCAATAGTTATAAGTTGTGTGTGCATGTGTGTTTGTGTTTGTGCACTTGCGTCTTAAACAAGATAGCTGAAACCCTTGAGCCTATCCCAACGTTTCCTCAGTTGTATTTTTAGGAGACTTCCTCTCAGTTGTGTGACGTATCTGTATCATTAGCAAATTAGCAAAGCCCGGTTGTTCTCAACTTCCTAAGCACACCTGCGTCTCACACCCGGCAGAAGTGACAACGAGCAGACTTTGCGAGCAGGGAAATAAGTTGCTCAACAGGAAGTGGCAGCAATCCAGCCACTCCAATCTCTGCCTACAAAGAAATAAACAAAGACATTATAAAGCCCTTTTTATCCCTCAATGACTATTCCCATAAATGCTTTAATCACCCCTCCCCGGGGACTCAGCTTTGTGTGTTTGTGTGGGTGGGTATGTGTGACCGTCCTGTGATGTCCGACTGGTCTCCGCTCTGCACAGATGGATCTATTTAGCTGCCAGTCGTGCCTGTTATTTACCAACATTCATTCCTCTCTCTCCCTCTTTCTCTCACCGTCTTTCTTCATTTTCTTTCCTCCCTCAGTCTTACGTTTTTGTTCTTTCAGTTGAATCGAGTGCAGCTGATCACAGCGAGTCTCAGCCGCTGCGTTTGTAAAATCGGCGAGCAGTAATACATCCTTTATGCTGTGTATAATCTCCAAACTCTTAACTGCCTGTCAGGGACATTTGTGTCAGCTGACTGTAGCATCTTAAATAATCCTCTGCCTCTTCTTCTTCTTTTTCTTCTTATTCTCTTGTTTTCTTCTTCTTCTTCGAATTTCTCTGTCTGCTGAAGTACTGTTAAGGTTAGGATCAAGAGAGAGCTGGTTTTGTTCAAGCTCCAATTCATACACAGTAGAAGAGGCTGTGGAGATTAAAAGCATCTGAGTGCACAGGAGAGCAGGCGAGTGAGCGCAAATGTGTGTGAGAATGTGTGTTTTTATGTGGCTCTGTTTTAGTGCTCAGGACTTCGAGGTGAAATGCGTCAGGCTTTTGCCGGGTTGTTGGGCTGTCACATCAGATTAACCTCAAGAATTCAACCTCAGCTTGGACTTCGCTTGTCTGAAAGTTTCTCTTTGCATTTTTGCTGCTTACTCGGCTCTTTCCTTGCCCGTCTCTTCTTTATTTCTCTGGACTTTTGGGACATGTCAGAGATAATTGGTGTTTACCTTGGTGGGTCGTGGTCTGGGTCCACTGTTGTTTGATTTTGCACAGGTTAGCGTATTTGTGTATACTGTAGTACGGTGTAACATGGCTGGGTAACGAGAACATGTAAGGAACTCTGTGCTCGTCACTCTGGAGCTTAAAGGCTTCAGCCTTTAGATGATGACAGGAGTTTAGAACAAAGACGGTGGTCTCTTCGTTCCTAGCCACAAACTAGAGCCTATCCAGTTTGTGTGTGTGTGTGTGT